TGGGGTCATTTGACCCCAGTGCTCTTCCTGCCATGGCAGGGGGTCGGACTAGATGAACTGCTCAGGTCCCTTCCGACCCTAGAAACTATGAAACTTTCTGAGCCAGAGTCCAACATCAATTACACAGCGTGACCAGACACACATTCAAGCTAGCATATTGAAAATTTGCTTTTATGCTAGTTATCAAAATGAGCTCATTGTCTTTACAGGTACTTCAGAATGGACTCTTATTTTCTCCATTTGTATCTTCATTATCATCTCAGTCTGCGTGTGCTCTGTGCCGTGTATTAAGAAAGTGTAAGTGATTTTTTTTTTCTAAAATAGGGTGGAAAGGTCCATACTGTGTTTTCAATCCGTGGACCTGATTCTATTCCAGGCAAAGTTAACAAGGATTCTTGTCATTTAACTTACTAAAATAAAAGAGCTCTGACAGTATCAACATCAGTAAATACAGGTTGGTGGGACAGGCATTTCTATAAATCACAAACCTTTTACATTTATTTCACCTACAAGCTTTAAAGCAATACTTCTATACTTATCTATGTGTAATTATGAAAAGCTAACCCAGCTTGTCAATTTAGTCAGCCCTAAAAAAGCTTTCAATAGGGATTAATAGTGTACAGCGCGTGAAATGGCTGGACATAATCCACCCTCCCTTATGCCCCAGTGTAGTTGTTTTTTGGACTTTGAAGATCACTGGCACGTGGTGCAGAGTACAGTTCTGTGGATGAGATTGTTCAGCTGCTCTCCTGGGAAGATAAGCATTTGCATTGTAGATTGACTTCTGGGCACCCTTCAAGGTTACCTCAGCATGGAGGTTTCTGCAGTGGTCAGGTTTTGCTGTAAACAGATGCAATGGCAAGAGCCGTAGCTGAGAGGGAAGTATTCAGACTTGTATTGATTAAGACTTTGAACAAGGGGCTTCTTATTGCTATAGCCTTGTGGGGAATTCATGGGCTGTAATGAATAGCAAGACACCATGACTGCTGTTGTCCTGAAAGTACAGTAGATGGACAGATACCATCTGGTGAAGGAGCAGCCATAGGTATTGCCAAAAGGGAAACATGTTGGCAACCAGCATCAAAGCAAATATCTAGATGGAATCTAGTCCAGGCTCCTACAAGTTAATTTTATACTAGATACTAGCTAGCCTGCTTGTTCATACCAAGACAGCTTGCAGTGATTAAATACAATTACTTGGTATCCTTACATTACATATTGCAATTCTTCAGATTTCAGTGTAAATATATGAGCAATATAGTTTGAAGCCATTATATTTACAGGAATTGCCCTGACCGATTTTAATTTCATGTGCTCATTTTACAGATTATGCTCCCTCTTTTCCACCTTTGTACCTCAGTGGTACAGCAAAGCCATTCCAGATCCAGCTAACTCTTCATGGGCTAAGAAATTCACATCTGTGAACGTAAGTCACCTTGTGATATTATGCTAAAATAACAACCCCCAATATCAGTTATCTAGGCTGCACAAGTCTGTGATCCACTACAAAGAAAACAACATGGAACTTATGGTGAGGAGATATTTCATCATTCTCCTGACCTGGTAGGCTGTAGGACACACTTCCCATTGAAAGAATAACACCGACACTTACTTTGAGGTGTAGCTATATTATAAAAGGATGTCGTGAAGCAGACTCGTTGCATTTTGAGAGGATAGAGCTCCGAATTGATACCAGTGTGTGTTTTTTATCCCCACCCCAGGATGAACTAAGTTTGTATCCCAAACCATTCCTGAGCAATTTGAGCAGTTTTGAGGAGCCTGAAACTATAGAAGTAGAGGAGGTCTTTATAAAAAGAGAATCTCTGGCTTTCCAGGACCAGCTCATCTTCAACAATAAAAGCAATGGAAGTCAAGATTGGCAAATTGGTAGCTTTGAGAAGCAGAACTCTGCTAAAAAGAACTCTGAATGCAAACCTTTGGCAACAAGCATAGCAGATGATGGAGATAACTATGGGTGTCAGCTTCCCTACCTGTACAAAAAACTAGCTGCAGAAGAAACGGAACAGATTCAAACTATTTCTGATTATCTTCCCAATCCACTTATAGACACAACGGTGAATTATTTGCCTTCAAATATATTAGTGTCCACAGTGGAATATAATGAAGATAACAGTGAACTTGAATACAATTCAATCTCTGTTTTCCCAACCACCTCTCTTCTGACCCCAGTGTTTTCTGGTGGAGGAAAACTCACATTGGATGCAATAAAAGTGGACTGCAGTTCTTTGAAAGGGTAAGTTGGCAAAGCATCTCTAAGATTCTGGCCTCATTTTGTGCACTTTAGTCAGATCCACAAATACCATAATGTTATTTTTAGAGTTAATTATGTAACTTAAATGTAGAGGTGCTAAATCCAAAAACATCAAGAAAACTCTGGACTTCTTCGGAATTGCTTTAAACGCCTTGCTTTGCAACGCTGTTTTGAAGTCTTACAAGAACCTACTCTTCAAGAGCAGTGATGTGTTCCTACAGATCTGAAGCTGAGTGTGCCTTACTTTAAGGTACAAGTATCGTACTCAACTGCCAAGTCAGCTTCACTAATCACAAGCTTGTTATGTTGTGTTGCCTCAGACCCAGCCCAGAACGTGGACAGTGTCCAACATAAAACCCCTGGAAACTGGAAAAAGATGGGTGAGTAGTTGGCTCCTACTGTCCCTAGTAAGTATGGCAGCCTTTGGCTGCAAACCAGCCAACTTGTTTCTCTCGTTCCCCCTGCACCTCACACACCAAGATGTGCTGCATCCCCTCCAGTCTCAGGCCCCTTACCCTACACCTCCCAGCGAGCCTTTTGAGTGTTAGGGGGAGGTTCAATCAGTTCCAAATGGCTGCCCACTATCAGGTAAATTGGGATGGGGGAGCTAGCAGAGGGTTGGGAGGGGGGAGCAAGCAGGCTGGCAGAGCATCAGGGATGTGCCAGGGGATGAGGGGACAGGCACAACC